TTTAATATACGGCTGTTCGTTAAAGACTGTGAAGCAAGCTTTAGGCCTTTAACTATTAGAGTCCTGTCAACAGAAAGTTACGATACAGAAAGGGTGACGCGGCCGCATTACGTCATGGTCAGGTGATTGACGAGGAAGTAAACAACTCCGAAGACAGTAGACATCTCGACGGGGAAAGGTGAGGAGACGTTACACGTTACATTACAACCAGATTTCTTAACGTTTGCAGCCTGGGTTTGCTTGTTAGGCAGTTTTGGCCACAGACGGGCTGACTAATGTTTGATTTTTGACATGAAGTTTGACGCTGTTTTTACGGGTGTGAAGCGCAGTTAGCCCGGATCTTACGGCCACTACAGCATCAGCAGCATCCTGCTAGCTTTACAGGTGATGCTAGAAAACGGGTTCAGGTGGTTTAAACTTTCAGTGTGTATCCAGCTGTGTTGTAAAAGGTGAGATAGAAACAAAAACTTGGCTGTCCACATGACAGAGGATGTTACTTGGCTTTGCAGAAGTATACACATTTTCCTGTTGTTGTTTTCTTGTTGTCCATTTTAATGAAACAAAAATGTAAGTAAATTGAGCCCAACTTCAAATAAAATAATAATGGGATGTGTAAAGCCATCGGATTGGGAACTAAATGTAAAATGGGGTTTTTCAGTAGGCTGTTTTAAATTTGTAAAAAAGTGTAAAAAAAAAAAAAAGGCCAACGTTGCATTTTATAATTGTGAAATAATCTGTTAATTCTCTAGTTGTTTAAGTACTGATGGGTGGAAAAGGGTTGTCAAATTTAAAGATGAAACTGATCAAAACTGGTCTGATATTTGTTTGTTTATCCCGTGGTTTTTGGATATAAATACACTTCTTTTTTTTTTCAAATTATGCTTTTTATTTTCTTAATCCATCTGTGACATCTTCAGGTCCAGCTGTCCAGATGACATCCCTTATCTGCACTTTACAACACCATCAAGACGATGTCAACTGGTGCGCCTTCTCGGCCAAGCTGTTAGCCACATGTTCTGGGGACAAAACCCTCAGGATATACGACGCCCGTGATTTCTCCGAGCTGCCTTTTTCGCCGCTGACAGGTCACGGCTACAGTGTCCACTGCTGCTGCTTCAGCACCTGTGGTCAGTTCCTCGCTTCGTGCTCCACAGATGCGACCACGGTGATCTGGTCAATGGTCTCGGGTGAGATCGAGGCTGTGCTGGAGCATCCTGGCCGTAGCCCTGTCAGGATCTGCGCTTTCTCTCCTGACTCTCTCCACTTGGTTTCTGGTGCATCTGATGGCACTTTGGCTCTTTGGGATTTTCCCTCCAGACAGCTGCGAAGGTAAAATTGTTAGCCGAGTATCTCTGAAGCTAAATTATTTAAGGGGAAAACAAGGGAACTTTCCCTGTCTGGAGTTTCTTAAATGCTAGGAAGCCTCTATCTTGCAGTGTGACTCTAAATGTCACAAAAAAAACGTGACAAGCATTTTCACAATTTTCTGACTTTTGATAGCAAGATTACATGGAAGATTAGTTGAGAATTAAAATAATTGTTGTTTATTATAAGCTATTGTGTTATCGGCTGATGGTAAATTTAAAGATGTTCTTAACATTAAGACTTCTCAACATTATACAGGTCTGTAGTTTTTGTTATAATGACAAAAATGAGCTGGAACATAAATGTAAACGGGAGTCTGCACCAGTGTTTGCACTGGCCTCCTGTCACTATCAGTTTCCATGTGTTAATAAATGGGAATGATAATAGCCCTGAAGTGAAAAATAAATTGCTCATGCAGCTGCTGTCGGTTGTTTTTGTGAAGGACCGGGGCAGTGAATGACACAACAATGGTAGCCTGCTCCTTTAGCCCCTGCAGTCAGATGTTTATGACTGGCTCCACATACGGAGACCTGCGTTTGTGGGACCTGCGCATGAACCAGCTCCACGCAGAGAAGAACGCCCACGACCTGGGCGTCTCCTGCTGTACCTTCGCTCCGAGCATCCTCAGCGGTGAGAACTGTTGCTGTGCATCAGGGTGTTTTACAGCAGCCTCTGGGAATAAAGGCCCTTACACATTGGACGCATACAATTCCTGCAGATATTTAGTATTTTTTCAAATCAAACTGGATTCTTCAGATTTAGATTTTTTTTTATGTGAGTAAAGAGACACCGATAATAGATGTGACACAACCATTTTATTGATCACAAATAAATAAATAAATCACTAAATAAAATGCAGATAACATTTTTTTTAGTGATCTCACACCATCCCTTGTAGAAGAGTCACCAGAAAGTACACAAGGTCAAATTACTGCAATGCTGTTTGATTAAAATGCCAGCGGTGGTGTGATCCGTACACAGCTGCTCTGTTTGGACTTGGACTGATTGTTTATTAGTAATTTTCTTTGTGAGAGACTGAGACTCTCTTTGCATTTTATTGTTTTTGTCTTTCAGGCGGTCAAGTTGTGCAGTTTCGTGTGGCGTCTTGTGGACAGGACAGCCTGCTGAAGATATGGGCCATAAACAAGTTGAGCTCTGGAGGTAGAGTGCGGCGCTCCCTCTCCGTATATCTCCTCTCATTTGATCCCTTTCTGTTGTTATTTTTTACGACCTCTTTGCATATCAGCTAACATTGCAAACCTGGATTTGTCATCACGTCCTCTGTTCCTACATGCCAGACTCCACGGATGCTAAACAGCTGTCACAGTAATACCATTTAAGGCAGAATTTGACTATCATGTTGTCATGTGACCCGTTGTAGCCTCTCAGTGTGCACTCGTTCAGAGTTTGATGTGTACGCATTTCCAGAGGCACAACGATTCAAATCACTGGTGCTGCAAGTCCAAACGAGCTACCAGTTTTTTTTATGCTGTTATTAAAATTAACTGCAGATGAACTGTTTGTACTTCACTCCCCCACCTTTCTTTCTTTTTACCTTAAAGAGACTCTTTATTTCTGGATGTTACCATCTAATCCTTAAACTGAAAACAGTCCAGCTTGCTGTGTATTTTGATCTTTGTGCAAATGTGATTTATCTTCCGTAGCGTATAAGATGAAGCTCCTGCACACATTAACTGGCCAATCAGCTCCCGTCCTTTCCTGTGCATACTCCTCAGATGGGCAGCTACTTGTGTCTGGGTGAGAGCTCAACTTTACTTTTCAAAGCATCTGCTGTCTAATTGTGTTTAATAATTAAATTAATAATACTTGCTCTTCTTTACTTTGGGAAATTATTGCATATTAAATTAGGACTTATTTTAGGATTTTGGAGTTGGCTTAATGCACCACTCTCTCAAAGTAATGAGATTAATTAAATCTGGTACACTGTGAGGGTAGCTGCCATATAAACTGTACTCAAATTGTATTTGATGGGCCAAAACATGCAGCACATTTACACGATTTCTAGCCAGCTTGATTCCCTCATAGTTTCAAGCTAAATCTATATTTGACACCCCTCGCTTGATCTGAAATACCTCAGCATCCGTGTCTTGATCTATTTGAGATCAAAAGTCTGCTTTGAAATATAGATTGTTTTCCTGGATGTGTAAGTAGGCCACCTCTGCACAAATATAACGGTGCAGTACTGAGGAGCAAACACTAGAGGGAGACATGGACTGCTGTATTTCTTAATGGGTGAACACGAATTTGAGTCCAGCCTACTGTGCTGCATTTAACAGTTAAGCAATACAAATGTTTTTTAGGTGGTTGTAATCTTTTTTTTTTTAATCTCATATTTTTATGTCTTTCAGCTCTGTGGACAAAACAGTCACAATTTATGATGCTGTAAGCACTTCTCTTATTCTGATTTACCAAGCGGCATTAGCTTAAATTGTATTTTAAAATATATCTGTCTGGATTGAATACAGAAAGCTCATGTTTTGTTTTTTGCTCATATTGTCTGCAGGAGAATGCAGTTTTGCTTTACAGGCTGAAACAGCACGAAAGGTAAACATTGATTTTCACTGACGTGGTGAGGCTTTGTTTGCTGGATTTTCACACTGAGTATAAGCACGACTTTGTGTCACAAAGACGATACTGAAATTTTCTCCCAACTTGCCAGGCAGAATTCTTTTCTGTTTAGTTCGTGATTTGATTCTGTATTTCTGTATTCTTAAATTGATACGTCTGATGAAACTAGAAATTACAGCGTACAAAATTGGCCACAATATAAGATTTTGAATATTTAAAATAGCTAAAGTTAAAGCTAATGATAAAATAATTGAAGTTACTGTGATCATTTTTGCACTATTGGTTTTGTCTATATTACTTGCTGTGGTTTTATACAGACCTGAGCTCTTGTTTTTAATTTCTTCTTGCAGCAATTTGTAAATTTCTCCATAAACAGTGATGTAGTTGCTGCATAACGCTGATGTAACTGATGGAAATGACATAGGCACTTAGCCATGTTGCTTTTATATAGGAATAAAACCAGAATAGCCAAGTGGTTGTTTTTACAGAGAGACCTGTTGCAGATGAGTTGTGATCATGAGCACAGACTAATTTAGCCTGATTGCAACATGTTGGCAATCTGGTTGTTTTTATGAATTAAACTGGACTTATTCGAAAGTGTTTGGAGTCAGTCTGCGACCTGTGCAGTCGCTTCATGATCAAAAGTGGTCAGGCAGAAGTTAAGGGTGTTGGACACTCATTCTCTGGATGACCAGATGTTTGCCACAACTACTTGCAAACAGTCTCAGACGGTAAACAGTTGAGTGCAGTCACCAGGTAACCAACATTTCTAGTTGCATGGAGGTTTCCATCTTGTTTTTATCATCTTGTGTGGCTGAGCGATGAAAGAGGTCTATACGGTTTCTCCGTGGCAGTCAGTTATGTAGAGACAGCCAGATTCATAATAATATTTTCATGTAACCTTTAAATTATTACAAAATCTACATCTTTAACAGGCGTTTGGGCTCCAAGTCATCATTGTTGACAAGTATTCTGACTCTAATCTCTATTCAGAATATGTGACTGTTGGCCATCAGTAGATAACGCACATCAAAAACTATTGACTTCTTTTCTTTTTTTTCCTCACTAAAACAGGGTTAGGCGTAGCTAGGGTTCTGCAAGAATATTCTACTGGAAATAGTAGGTACTGGATCTAAATCTCTTGCAGTATGTTTTTGCCCCCTAACTGGTGCACAACCAGTAGGGGTGTAACGATACACAAAATTCACGGTTCAGTTCGGTTCGGTTCGATACTTTGGTGTCACGGTTCGATATTTTTTCGATACAAAAAAAATGTTCATGCCTTTTTAATTTGTCATTTATTAAAATTATAAATATATATTTTAACTCAAAAGTACAGTTTTTAAATTTAA